CTATTCAATCTATAACAGTGAAAAAAGTTTTTTGTTTTTAAATCCAAGCTATTGTGACACCAGATGTAATTGGTGGCACTGACTGGGGAAATGGGCACTGTGAGCCTGACACAGAAGCTGGCAGCAGTGGCAGACAACTAAGTGCATTTACATTAGATAGAAAAAAAAAAATCCAAAAAAAGCATACCCTTATCCCTAACCTAGCTATGCTTTTCCCTATCTTATGAACAGCAGCTACACTTTCCCTCCTCTTACTAAGCATGCAGCTTGAGAATGAATCTAAAATGGATGCTGTCCAGTAGGTGGGAGGGTCTGCTAGGGAGGCTGTGCTGCTAATTGGCTGGAATGTGTCTGCTGACTGTGAGGTACAGGGTCAAAGTTTACTCAATGATGACGAATAGGGGGCGGGTCGAACCGCGCATATGTTCGCACGCCGTGGCGAACGCGAACATGCTATGTTCGCCAGGAACCGTTCGCCGGCGAACCGTTCGGTACATCACTAGTTGTGATACAGGGATTAAAGCGACAGGAGTGTAGATAAGACACAGGTTTGTTAGAAAATAGACATCATTCTTGCAGAGGATCATACATATCTTTCTGAAGATCAGAATGAGGGGGGAGAGGAAGGGGGGGAAAAGCAGATAGTGCAGAAGATGGTACACTTTATACAAACACACACACACACACACACACACACAAATATATATATATATATATATATATATGCAAACATATAAACACATGAACATATAAACACATATACATACAGGCACATGAACACATATACAGAAATATAAATGCACAGTCACATATATACACTGCTCAAAAAAATAAAGGGAACACTTAAACAACACAATGTAACTCCAAGTCAATCACACTTCTGTGAAATCAAACTGTCCACTTAGGAAGCAAAACTGAGTGACAATCAGTTTCACATTCTGTTGTGCAAATGGGATAGACAACAGGTGGAAATTATAGGCAATTAGCAAGACACCCCCAATAAAGGAGTGGTTCTGCAGGTGGTGACCACAGACCACTTCTCAGTTCCTATGCTTCCTGGCTGATGTTTCGGTCACTTTTGAATGCTGGAAGTGCTTTCACTCTAGTGGTAGCATGAGACAGAGTCTACAACCCACACAAGTGGCTCAGGTAGTGGAGCTCATCCAGGATGGCACATCAATGCGAGCTGTGGCAAGAAAGATTGCTGTGTCTGTCAGCGTAGTGTCCAGAGCATGGAGGCGCTACCAGGAGACAGACCAGTACATCAGGAGACATGGAGGAGGCCGTAGGGAGCAACAACCCAGCAGCAGGACCGCTACCTCCACCTTTGTGCAAGGAGGAACATGAGGAGCACTGCCAGAGCCCTGCAAAATGACCTCCAGCAGGCTACAAATGTGCTTGTAACTGCTCAAACGGTCAGAAACAGACTCCATGAGGGTGGTATGAGGACCCGACATCCACAGGTGGGGGTTGTGCCTACAGCCCAACACTGTGCAGGACGTTTGGCATTTGCCAGAGAACATCAAGATTGGCAAATTCTTGTCAAGCCCTGTGCTGGAGACGCCGCGGAGAACGTTCTGCTGCCTCAACATCGTCCAGCATGACCGGTTTGGCAGTGGGTCACTAATGGTGTGGGGTGGCAATTCTTTGGGGGGGCCGCACAGCCCTCCATGTGCTCGACAGAGGTAGCCTGACTGCCATTAGGTACCGAGATGAGATCCTCAGACCCCTTGTGAGACCATATGCTGGTGCGATTGGCCCTGGGTTCCTCCTAATGCAAGACAATGCTAGACCTCATGTGGCTGGAGAGTGTCAGTAGTTCCTGCAAGACAAGGCATTGATGCTATGGACTGGCCCGCCCGTTCCCCAGACCTGAATCCAATTGAGCAAATCTGGGACATTATGTCTCGCTCCATCCACCAACATCACGTTGCACCACAGACTGTCCAGGAGTTGGCAAATGCTTTACTCCAGATCTGTGAGGAGATCCCTTAGGAGACCATCCGCCACCTCATCAGGAGTATGCACAGGTGTTGTAGGGAGGTCATACAGGCACGTGGACACCACACACACTACTGAGCCTCATTTTGACTTGTTTTAAGGACATTACATCAAAGTTGGATCAGCCTGTATTGGGTTTTTTTTCACTTTATTTTTGAGTGTACCTCCAAATCCAAACCTCCATGGGTTGAAAAATTTGATTTCCATTTTTTAATTTTTGTGTGATTTTGTTGTCAGCACATTCAACTACGTAAAGAACAAAGTATTTCAGAAGAATATTTAATTCATTCAGATCTAGGATGTGTTATTTTTGTGTTCCCTTTATTTTTTTTGTGTATGTGTATTTTATATGATTTTAAAGAAGAAAAAGTATATTATGCTTTTTTAGTTTAATTAATTTATCAGTACATAAAGTATAACCAAATAGATGTTTTAACACACATTTATGAAGGAGGGCCATGTTTGTTAATTGTGTTATTTAACTGTAAATGCTATCAAATGATCTTGAAAGGACACTCCGGAGACATGTAGCACTTTAGCTTGCTGAAATGCTTAATGTGTGATTAGCGTTTCCTCTTTTTTTTTTATTTAACAAAAACTGCAGATTTTAATAGAA